CTCCTGTAGGAGCCGCGCAGGCCTGAACGGGGGCTTTTCTCCCCCAGCTGGCGCACGCCATCCGCTTGCTCCTGGAGTTCACTGATACATGCTATGAGGAGAAACGGTACACTTGCGGGGAAGGTAATGCAGCCGTGGGTGCACATGCGCCGCCGCGCTAAGCCTAGCTGGCCGTCCGACTATCGCGCCCGAGTCGGTGGGACTGCTGCCGCAATCACCTGGGAGCTCTCAGCTGTATCCCGTGTGGGGAGAGGCTGCTCATCTTTTATGTGGAGTGGGAGTTTCTCCCTCTGCCATAGCCCAGCCTTGTCCGAACGCTTAACCAAATAAGACTCCAGAGGTCAAATGGTTTAAGTTTTTAGGGCCTGGGAATGTGAGGTATCTGGACTAGGTTATCTCTTTAGATCTTTCCACTCTCTTCTCCTTCATCCTTTAGGTACTAAGGCTGTTGGGACCCACTTCATTCTCTCTCTTACAGCTCCTGACTATGATAGAAGCCAATGGCTGGATGTGAAATTCAAGCTAGACCTGGACTTCCCTAACGTAGGTGGTTTTAGAAAAAGAGTGGGTAGAAGGGAAGGTTGTCAAGTATATCCTTGTTTCTTTCCTTTCTGGTCTAGGGGATTCTAGAATAGGGCTTCTTAACCTAGATAGAATAAATAGAATTCAGGAGTCCTTGAACTTGGATGGAGAAAAAGTCACATTTTCATTTCCACCACTGACTAAAAGTTAACAATTCTTTCTGTTGTGAGTATTGGCAATAAGTTACACTGGTTATTAGCCATGTCTGTGACTTTGTCACTAATCAAAATTGGGCATTTTCATATTATATTACATATGTTGCAGATATTGTAAATATTTACATTCATCATACTTGAAATTACAGTAGTTCTTACACCTGCTTGTTAATGCAAATTATACACATATTACTCTATTACGATTTTGGTTTTTCAATGTTCTATAAATTGTGTAAATATATATAATTTGCTTTACTGCATTTAAAAACATTCTGAGAAAGGGTCCATGGCATGTGCACGTGCACACACACACATATGTGTGGCAGTGGGGGAAGGGTGGGAGATGTTAAGAATCCCTGGTCTAGAATCAGGTGAGGACTTGATTGTTACCTTCTGCTTATTTTCTCCTTTGTCCTACTTCCCTCACTTCCTTCACTTTCCTGCAAGTCACATCTTCCCCTGGAGAGAAACAGGGAGGCAAGAAACAGGTGGTTCACTGAGCTGTCCATTTCCTTCCAGCTGCCCTATCTCATGGATGGTAAGAACAAGATCACCCAGAGCAATGCCATCTTGCGCTACATCGCTCGCAAGCACAATATGTGTGAGTGGGGCTCAGCTGGCGAGGGAGACCAGGCTGGTTGCTCACCTGGGAGTGGATAATCAAGGGTGATTTCTTCTACAGGTGGTGAGACTGAAGAAGAAAAGATTCGAGTCGACATAATGGAAAACCAAATAATGGATTTCCGCATGCAGCTGGCACAACTCTGCTACAGCCCTGACCACGTAAGTTTCCTTAGCAGGTAGACATCAAGGAGAAGGAGCATTTAGGAACCCAATGGTAATTCTGCTCCATTATGCTGCTACCTTCGCACCAGCTCAGTCCATCAAAATAGGGAAGGGAGGAGAATTCTTTTGGGGGAGGATGTTGGTCATATAACTCTGGTGTTGCTCCCTCTTCCTTTCCAAATCCCTGCCCTCTATCCTCTCACCCTGTCCTGAAAGCAATGAGAGGAGGGCCCCTGGAGAAAGGGCCACTAAGTGTCCACCACTGGCCCACGTCCTGATTAGCTAGGAAGATGATGACAGCTCTTCTCTCTCTTTTTCCTTCTCTCCCAGGAAAAACTAAAGCCGCAGTACTTGGAACAGCTACCTGAACAACTGAAACAATTCTCCTTGTTCCTGGGGAAATTCTCATGGTTTGCAGGGGAAAAGGTAGGAAGAGAGGAAAGGGAGTGAACACCTTTATGTCTCTGCAGGTGTTAATGAATTGCCCAGAGCTGACCATCTTACTTTCCCTCTAGCTCACCTTTGTGGATTTCGTCACCTATGATGTCTTAGATCAGAACCATATGTTTGAGCCCAAGTGCCTGGATGAATTTCCAAATCTGAAGGCTTTCATGTGCCGTTTTGAGGTGATGTCCCCTGCACTTGCCTCTTAACAAAAACTCGCACAGGCTTCCCTGGGCCCTAAAGGACCCCACTGTTATAGATTTCTTGCCAACACCAGTAATAGTTGGACATCTCTAACCCTGTAAGTCTTGGGAAGGGCCTGGCTTCTACAGCCAGAAGGTACCGTCTACAGGAAACAGCAGAGGCCGGGGATATGGGTGGCGGAGGCAGGCGAATGTCACCATATTGGAAGGGCTCTGTCGGACTGGGCTAGAGTCATTTTCTGTGGCATTGTGTGCTTCTCCTTCAGGCTTTGGAGAAAATAGCTGCCTACATGCAGTCTAACCGCTTCTTCAAGATGCCCATCAACAACAAGATGGCCCAGTGGGGCAACAAGAGAATATGCTGAGCAGGAGGCCGACTTACACTGCTTGTGTTATTCCCTCCTGTCCATAGGGGGCCTGTACTCTCTTCTCTGCTCTTTTCAATAAATAGATTTAGGCTACTGGTGTCCAGCTGGAGTTCTCTTGGGAATAAAGGCTGGAGGAGAGTGAGGATGTGTGAAAAATTACTAAGATGTGAATTCAGTCACTGCAACATTGACATTTTCCCCACCCAAAACTGTTCAGCCACTAGAGTTCTTGCCCAAGCCTTGAGAGTGGAAGCTAGAAATAAAGGCACAGTTGTAGAGAACAGGTATGTTAAATGGGGCTGGAGCCCCTGTGAAGACCTGGTGAGGATCTCAAGTACAACTGTGTGTTACTGTAGACATAACAACTGGAGTTCCAAACCAGACCCTTAAATGTGGGGATTCAGTGTGATGAAAACAGTACTTCCAACTGGTGAGCTAGCCAATAAATAAGATTAGGAAAATTACTTACAAATTGAAAATAATAAAACCCTGCCTCACACTTCACTAAAATCACTTCATCTGGAAGTTATGGCCCAATATTAAACACAAAGCTGTAGAAGTAATAATGAAATAAAAGAATGTGATCATAGGGTAGGAAAGTTTCTCTTAAGTAAGACATAAAAAGAAAGCCATAAAAGGAAAGAGTTGCAAATTGGACAGTATCCCATTCTAAAACTTCTCTGATAAAGCACAAATAAGCAAAAATAAGCCAAAACAAGACGGTATAAACACTAAAGAACTATAAATCATTAAGATAACTTAGTTATTTAAATTGGACAAAAATCTATAAACAATTTACAGAAATAGAAGTATGGATGGCCAAAAAAAGTTTAAATGATGTTTATAATCCAAGGAATTGTAATTTACAACACTGAGAGATTGTTTTTCTATGGGATGAACAAAATTAAGAAGTTTATAAAGTATTGGCAGGATTGAGAAAGTGAACGCATTTCCTGCTGGTGGACTTGGAAGTTGGTATAACCACTTTGGAGGACAATTTGTCAATATCTTTTAAAATTCAAATCATAGCCTGTTAGCCAACAATTCTGTAAGAACTCACCTGTACACTTAAGGTATGTGCTAAGACTGTGGCATTGTTTGTAGGGAGTGGGAGTCATATAAATGCTCACCAATACTGTGGAATACAGTAAGGCAGTTAAAGATTAAACTATTCAAACTAACAGATTCTGAAGACACGTTGAATTTTTTAAATTAGTTTGCAGGTCAAGATGTATAGTATGATACCTAGTATGGTTAGAAAAAGAGAAACCATGAGATAAGCACGTCTACAGATATACTTACGTAGATAAGTGCATAGAGAAAGCTCTGGAAGGATGCCAAACTGATAACAAAGCCTTCCTCAGGTAAATGGGAGAAAAGCCTACGCTCCAGGATGAAAATTACAAGAGACTTTAGAGATAGGATAAGGGTTTCTTTTTATTTTTGTAACTAGGGGAATGCATTCACGTATTACCATGTAATAGAAGCTAGTTTTGGGAAATGAAAGCAAACGAGAAACATGACTCCTGTGGACACTGAGTTGGCACCACTCTCCTTTTGGAGGGCAGTCTTTGAATAGTGTTCAACCTAAGGCAGTGATCTGAGGGTCAGATTGCTGTCTCCTGTGGATCAGAAGCCAAGGATCTCTCTAGGGAGGGTGGGACAGAGGGATTGAATGGCCAGATGGTACCAGAAGGGCTGCTCAGGAAGGATTAGTACAGACACAAGGTGCTAAGCAGACAGTTCAACCTCCACCTTTTGCCACCCCTGGTAGCAGTAATTAGATGGATATTCAGGCTAATATCTTGGGTATGGGGAGCCTTTGGCCAGAAAGCCTTTGGCCTTTACCTTTGTAAAGCAAGGAGCTTCTTTGCATTCCAATAACAGTTGACATGGATGTACATGGTGTGAGTGAGTGAAGTGTGCCCTTTGGGAAGGCTTCGTGGGTTTAGGAGAGAGCAGAGAAGTTGAGGATGTCTCCATAACTAGATAGATGATATGACCAGAAATCGAAAAGGGAATGTATCATTTATTGCTGTATAACAATATTACCACTAATTTGGCAGCTTAAAACAACACACATTTATCTCACAGTTTTTGTGCTTTAGGTGTCTGAGCACAGCTTTAGAGGGTCCTTTGCTTCAGGGTCTCATCCAAAAGCTGCAGCCAGTGTGTTAGCCAGGACTATGATCTCAAGTCTCAATAAGGACAGGATCTAAGTTCCTGTGATTGTTGATAGAATTCATTTCCTTATGGTCTGTTGGGCAGAGGGCTTTAGGTTCTTGCTGGCTGTCAGCTGGGGACCACCCTTGGTTCTGGGGGCAAAGGGGACCTCTTGCTTCCTCAAAAGCAGTAAGGAGGAGAGTCTCCTGGGAAGAGGAACACTATAGTCCTATGTAATATAATCATGGAAATGACATCCCATCACCTTTGCTGTCTTCTGTGAGAAGTAAATCACAGGTTCTGCCCACATTCAAAGGGAGAGGATCTCACAAGGGTATGAATACCAGAAAGTGGGATTATGGGGGGCCATCCCAGAGTCTGGTTGCCACAGGGAAGCAGGCAAGGAAACAGGAAATTGACCCTGCAGTCCTCTGAGACAAGAATCCTGGAAAAGGCAGATGACATCAAGGCAGTTGGAAGGAGGAGGTTCAAAAAGCATAGGTCTGCAGGTGAAATGTATTTCACATGAATTCCAGATAGACAAAAGACAAATCACATGTTCCACCTTTTTCTAGTTATTCTGTTTGTTAGAGGAAATCCACTTAACAATTACCCAAAGCCAATGAACTTGTTCACCTGGAAAGCAGGGAAGGCTGCTGAGAGGAACAGATCAGTTCCACAGGAGGTGTGGCTGCTCAGGTCCCAACCTGCCCTGACTCTTAACAGGAGCCAAGAGAGCATGCTGTCACAATAGCTGCCTTCAAGCCAGGGAGGGGAGTGGATGCCCTGCCATCCCAGAGGCATAGAGGCCACACAGATGTTGAGAAATTAGTGTATGAGGCGTAGGTTTGTGCAAATAGCATCAAAAAGAGCTTAAAAAGCAACAACAAATTAAATCAAGTATAAAAATCAAATGAATAATCATATCTGACCTGATTGTGTATAGTTCATAATGCGTGATCAAAACCGAAAGTTTCTGTGATATGACTGCCCTTGCCCTGTTCACCATGTAAGAACTTATTCACTATGTAAGAACTTGTTCACCATGTAAGAACTTGTTCGTTATGCTTCAGAAGATTGGAGACTGTTGAGAATTAGGCTTGGGGTTGATTAATGATTATGCATTGAGTCCCCTATACAGAATTTTATTGTTGTTAACAACCATTTGATCAATAAATATGAGAGATGCCCTCTCAAAAAAAAAAAGGCAACAACAACTTGTGACAGGTACACTAAGTTTGATGGAGCAGTTCCCAAAAAGTATCAGGGAAACTCATTTGTATTCATTGTTAAGGTCGAGCAACCTGATTGAAGCATTTCCAGTTCAGAAAGAAACAGTTTACGTGATTCAAGAAAAATACACGGTAGAATTACTGAGGGCGTGGCCAGATTGGGAGACACTGATGTGTTAGACATGCATCTGCCTTTTAGCCAGCTTAAAGGCTTATGAGAACACCTGGACTTCATACAGGTATTGCACATTCCTTATTCTTCAGCTACAGGACTCGATAGGGCAATGAAGCATCTGATAAGGGATTTAGGGAGTTCAGATGGATGGTAGGGGAGAGGGAAAGAAGTGCCCTTTAGCCAGTGATTTTTATAATGTGCAAATTTGCTTATGTCATTCCCATGCTTAAATAAAATTAATGGCTTCTTAGGCCTCAGGAAAAAGACAATCTCCTTTGCTTTACACAATCCATAATCTGACCTCTGCTTCCCTTCCAGCTACATCTCTTGGCCTGTGCCAGCCCCTCCCCCGTCCCTGGGACGCTAGGTTCCAGCCTTCCTGAATTCCCCAGGACCAGCACAGCTTTAGTGAGGCTGCCTGGGTTCAGACCCTGGCTTTCTGTGCCACAGCAAACTCTGCCTCCCGTGTCTCCCCTAACTGCATTGTTACCACAAATAAACCAATGTTTTTAGAACACTTGGAACACACCCATGTTTTATAAATTTATAGTTAAAAATTATCCCAAAGCACCATGTTCCCTTTTATCTTCACACTTCTGTACTTGCTGTTCCTCTGCCTGCAATGCTTTTGCTCCAGCCCTTCAGCCCCCTCAGCCCCCTAATGCCTGTTCATCTTCTAAGGTGAGCTTAGAGGTTATTACTCGGGGAAGCCACAGCTGATAACCCCTGTGGAGATTCACTAGTGATAGTTGAAGATTTCTTACTGTTTTCCTTTTGAGAAAACTTCACTACCCTCTCAAATTAAGTGTGGCCTTGTGACTTACTTTGGCCAATTAAATGAGAGTAGGAATTACATTTTCCAGACAGAAGCTTTAAAAGAGCCAGTGTGTGAGTCATCATATCAGCTTCTGACCACTGGGAGGATTCTGAGAGCAAAGCCAAGTTGAAGCCTCCATCAGTCTTGGTCTGTGACAAACTATGAAAAGCAGAGCCCCTGTTTACCACATCGGACATGAAGTGTGAGTAAGAAATAAACACGTTATTAAGCCACTGAAATTTAGTATCCTGACCAACAATCTTCCACCTCAAGCTGATTTAATGTACTTATTTTAAATCTTTGTTCCCATAAGATTTCATGTTTTCCTCTATCAGCACTTCCCACACTGAACTCTAATTGCTTTTTTAAATGTCTGTCTCTGCACTAAACTATAAGTTGCCTGAGAGCAGGGACTGTGTCTCATGAAAATTTTCATATCTAGTGCTTGTATAGAGCCTCACACAAAGTAGGCACTCACAGAAATGCATGGATTCTCTTCATTCTAATGAAAACTAGGAGAAAAACAGAAGAGCTTTCTTCAAATAGGTGCTTAATGCTCTTAAGGAAATTTTAAAAATTATTCTCTTTTCTGGTTGGTAGATAGAACACAGAAGAATGGAATGTCCTGTTCTTACAACAGGCAGAAGTACTTGGAGCCAGGACAGAAGTTCAGGTTCAGGGAGGTGCCGAGGCCTGACAAAGTCCT